CTGCCTCTCTCCACAATGATCAATAACAGTGAACGGATGGTCAAAGTAAGGTACAAATAAACAGAATCACACGAAGCCTGGTTAGTGTTGCCTGACTTTATAAAGTGTGTTTATAAGCACTACTGCTTGTAGGCAGGCATGACAGTCGACCCATGTTCAGGGGAGGTGGGTTTAGTTTCCTGCACGCCTCGACGTAAGAGAGACGTAAGCAAAACACAACAAACTCTTACTGATATGTGATGGGTCCAGGCTCAAGGGCGTATGGCACTCGCAACTCTTTCCAGGACATGTCGGGGCCCTGCCTGCCAGTAGCTTTGCCGATATCTGTGTTGATAGGTAATAGATTAAGAGCGGTGAATCATAGAAACAGGAAGCGCTCAAACGTTTGTGTGAGTGTATCTAATTTAGCAGTGATTCCATGTCAGCCACAGCTTGTTACAAAAAACATGACTGATAGTGTGTTTAACAAACTTAAACTAGCTTTATTTAATGTCAGGTCTTTGGCAGGAAAAACATTTTTAATCAATGATTTAATCACTGAGCACAATCTCGATTTTATGTTTTTAACAGAAACTTGGATTGAACAAAATAACAGTGCAGCTGTTCTTATCGAATCAACCCCTCCCAACTTTAGTTTTATGAGTCAGGAAAGAATGCATAAGAAAGGGGGTGGAGTTGCTATTCTGTTCAATGATTCCCTTCAATGCAGGAAGACATCGTATGGAAACTTTGATTCTTTTGAATATGTGGCCCTTCGGCTGAAATGCTCCTCTCGAGCTCTGTTCCTAAATATCTATAGACCACCCAAATACTGTGCAAGCTTTTTTGATGACTTTACTGAACTGCTGTCTATAGTGTGTATTGACTTTGACCGTCTAGTCATTGTTGGTGATTTTAACATCCATGTTGACAACCCCCAGGACAGAGGGGCTAAAGAACTGTTTTGTGTTCTTGATAGCTATGGACTGACTCAGCATGTGATGGAGCCCACGCACAATAAGGGGCACACTCTGGACTTAATTATCTCAAAGGGTCTGAATATCTCTAAGGTTGTGGTGACTGATGTTGCACTCTCTGACCATTCCTGTGTTTTCTTTGAGAGCTCTATTTCTGTTCACAAAAATGTTCAAAAAGAGGTAACCACAAAGCGATATTTAACTGAAAATACTAGGGAAATGTTTACTCAGAATTTCTCTTCCACACTTGCCCCTGCCAACATCTCAGTAAATGAGCTAGTAGATCATTTTAATTCAAAAATTAAAAATGTTATAGATGCCATTGCTCCAACTAAGGTAAAGGAAGTGTCTGGCAAGAAAATATCTCCATGGAGAAAGGCCATGACCGTGAAAACAGAAAAAAAGAGAATGTCGAAAAGCTGAACGCAGGTGGCGAAAAACAAATCTCCAGGTTCACTTTGAAATCTATAAAGAGAGACTTGGCCTTTATAATTTGGAATTGAAAAACGCACGACAATCGTTCTTCTCTGACATCATTACCAAAAACAAAAACAACGCACGTGCCTTGTTTGCTACCGTCGACAGACTAACTAACCCCCCAGTGTCAGTAGCCTCTGAATTTCTATCCACCAGGGCGTGCAATGATTTTGCCTCCTTTTTCACTGACAAAATTCAGAAAATCAGACAAGCAGTCAGTGCCTCTGCATCAGGAACAGCAAATGTGTTGTCCCTATCTCCACTTAACATCAATTCAGACATCATGACACAATTCCATCAGATTAATTATAAAAACCTAGAGGACATTATTCAACTTCTGAAATCCTCCTCTTGCTGCCTTGATATTATTCCAACAGGATTTTTCAAAGATGTTTTGCCTTGCATGGCCTCAGATCTACTTCATATAGTAAACAAATCTCTTCACTCAGGTATTTTCCCACAGGCCCTGAAAACTGCAGTCATTAAACCGCTCTTAAAAAAGAATAATCTAGATGCTTCAGTAATGAACAATTACAGGCCCATATCAAACCTCCCATTTCTAGGTAAAATCATTGAAAAAGTTGTTTTTCAACAGTTGAGTAATTTCTTGCATTTAAATAACTGTTTTGATGTGTTCCAGTCAGGCTTTCGTCCAAACCACAGCACTGAGACTGCTCTTGTAAAGGTCTTTAATGACATCCACTTAAACACAGACAGTGGCAGAACTTCAGTATTAGTATTATTAGATCTCAGTGCTGCGTTTGACACTGTTGACCACAGCATATTACTAGACCGACTGGAGAACTGGGTGGGACTTTCGGAAACAGTTCTGAATTGGTTTGAATCCTACTTAAAGGACAGAAACAACTTTGTTTCTATAGGTAAATACACATCTGAGTTGACAAATATGACATGTGGGGTTCCTCAAGGCTCCATCTTGGGGCCTCTTCTCTTTAACATCTACATGCTACCACTGGCTCAGATAATGAAGAACAACAAAATAAGTTACCATAGCTATGCAGATGACACACAAATGTACGTAACAATTTCACCAGGAGACTATGCTCCAATTCAAACACTGAGTAAGTGCATTGAACAAATCAATGACTGGATGTGTCAGAACTTTCTCCAATTAAACAAAGATAAAACTGAGGTAATGGTTTTTGGAGCCAAGGCAGAACGTATAAAAGTTAGCGCTGAGCTTCAGTGTGCAATGTTCAAAACAACAGATAAAGCCAGAAATCTAGGTGTAGTCATGGACTCTGACCTGAGTTTCAACAGTCACATTAAAACTGTTACTAAATCAGCCTACTATCACCTAAAGAATATATCTAGGATTAAAAGACTAATGTCACAGCAGGATTTGGAAAAACTTGTCCATGCTTTTATCTTCAGTAGACTCGACTACTGCAATGGTGTCTTCACAGGTCTCACTAAAAAATCTATTAGGAAGCTGCAGCTAATTCAGAACGCTGCTGCTCGAGTCCTCACTAACACTAAGAAAGTGGATCACATCACTCCAGTTCTGAAGTCTTTACACTGGCTTCCTGTGTGTCAAAGAATAGATTTCAAAATACTGCTGCTGGTTTATAAAGCACTGAATGGTTTAGGCCCAAAATACATTTCTGACCTCCTGCTAAATTATGAACCATCCAGATCTCTCAGGTCTTCAGGGACTGGTCAGCTTTCTGTCCCCAGAGTCAGAACTAAACATGGTAAAGCAGCGTTCAGTTATTATGCTCCAAATATCTGGAACAAACTCCCAGAAACCTGCAGGTCCGCTGCAACTCTTACTACTTTTAAATCCAGGCTGAAGACTTTTCTTTTTGTCGCTGCTTTTAATTGAACTATTCATATCTTAGACTGCACTGAAACTTTTATCCATGTACTTTTTTCTTTTAATGTTTAATTGCACTGTAACTTTTATCCATGTATTTTTTCTTTTAATGTTTATTTTATTAGCTTTTCTTTTTAATGACTGCCATTTTCTTAATCTCTTTCATTTTTTGTAAAGCACTTTGAATTGCCTTGTGTTGAAAAGTGCTATATAAATAAACTTGCCTTGCCTTGCCTTGCCTAAGCGACGCCACCTCTTAGCTCAGAAGCTCTTGCCTCTAGACTGACAATTTTTTGGAGCTGGAAGTGAACCGGATTCCGGAGCTAAGAGCCGGCGCCGCTGCGGTGTGAACAGGAAAAACCGGCGCTTTTCAGGCTCCGAGCCGGAGCTGAAAAAGCGCTGGTGTGAAAGGGGCATCTGCAAGTGCCGGTGCCGCACCGCGTTTGGAGGCAGGACCAAACCATTACATGTAAATAGAAGGGGGTGTACAGAGGCTTTGGGTAATTAAGTTTTGGAAGAAAATAAGTTAAATGAATCGTACATTTAGTGAGTAATTTATCAATATAACGTTCTATTAATGTGAATTATTGAGGATTGATGAAAGGTTACTTACATTTTTTTTCTTAATGTTCTGAACATTTTGGGGCCCCTGTCAGTCACGGGCCCTTAGAATCGTCCTAACTTTTCACCCCCTTACGGCGCCCTTGAATGTAAGACATTATTATCTATTACACTTTGAAGTCACACTACTCCAAAGCCTTTGACATAATGCTAATGCTACAGGTGACATTGGTTTTCAAGGCTTGATTTGAGAGGGTTACAAACCAAAAAGGCTGGGAACCACTGTGTCACTAAAGGCGCTGTGCTCTTTAGCAGTACAATAAAGATCAGACATGATGAGTCACTAATGTAGAAATAAAACCTGTGGCTCACAGCTCCATGTTTAGACTGGCTCCTGTGACCCTCACAGCTAATGCTAATGAGGGATGTCTCGTGTGACCAGACAGCATGAGTCATTTCCATGGTCATTTCTGAAAGATTAAAGTTGACTGTGGTTATTCAAATAAGAGCTAAAAAAAAAAAATTAACTAAATGAAAGACCTATAGCCTATTGAGCTCATGCAGGTAATACATGCTGTGTATAGTTAAGAAAATATGCATTCATGTGGTTTATTTAGCTACAATAAAACGTTCCGTTTGACCATCTGACTTTAACAGTTGAAAAAAGTTTTCCTGAATAGTTTGTTGTGATCATAGGTTGTGATACTAATTGTGTGCACTATGCTCCATGTCATAAATTGCAATTGGACTAACAACATTTACCTTATTCCAGGTGAGCTTTAATCTTTCAATGTACTCTAATACCAAAGACCCTTTACCAATAATCCTGACATTTATTTTTTGCTTCTAAGTTCAAAACAATACTGTATAAGATAGGCTAAACCAACTTTATTCAGATGGGAAAAAGTTAACTGTATAATGCTCCTAATTCTGAACTAAAGACAATTTAGATCACTATAAATATTTATTTCCACTTACCTCTCAGGGCTTCCGTACTAAATTACTGTTTACCTACATGGTACCGGATTTATGAAATGCCCAGAGCCAGAGAACTAGCTCCATTAAACAGTAATACATTCTTGTATAATTCCCAACTGGGTAAATTCATCTTGCTAAATCAAGCCAATCTAATTTGGCTCATTACCAACACAAAAAACCAGAGTCAGGCATACATTTTTAATAATACATTTTATTCCATTAAAGATTCTTTTTTCTAATTGTACACTGGAATGTTAAGATTCCCCATCAGTAATTTAGTTAAAAATGCTCAATCTAGTCATTTTCAACCCCACATCCACACTTTGCTAAATCGAAAGTTGGGGAGTACAAATGAAAAAAAACAAAAAAACGATAACATAAAAGACAAATGTTATAACTTGAATAATGTTGATGTACTACGAGAATGCAAGTAAAGGATGAGCGGGTGGATGAGCAGGCGGGGTGGGGTAACAGGATGTGATTCTTCTCTGTGTGGATAACAGGCCAACACACACCCACTCTGTACAGGATGTTAGATTAAGGGCTTGAAAGTTGTTCCTGGGTTAAGATCAAAGTACTTTTTTTCCTACTCCGTGATATCTGAGGGCTGGTCATTGGACTTTAATGGACCGGAGAGAAAAATGGCGTCTATTTTTGAGGAGTGGTTGTGTTGGCATTACGAAAAAAGATAGGAATTCCACAGATGCAGAAGTGTTCATTGGTAGGTAACTTCGCCTGCGTCTGAGAAATCCTCACAAAGTCCTGCTCTTCACTGTCAAATTTCATTATCCGGATAAGTGGTATAAACAATGATACAGTAAAAAAATATCAGTTAAAACTTAAAAGAAGAACGATTTTGCTGATGATAAATGCACACAGATTTAACTGAGAACTAAGTGTCCTCGCAAGAATGAAACAAAAAAGATAATCTATGGTGAGATATCAAGAGTAAATCACGATAATTTAACGAATAAAGAAAGAAAGGCTTATAATGATTGGGACAGCTTCAAATCGGCAGTTATTATGGATAGGGAAATCTGAAAGACAGAAAGCAAGAACCCTCGTTATCAATGAACCATTGCAATGTGAAGAAGACGGGGTGGGGAGGGTGCCCCCCCGCAGTCATCCTCTACTTACTCTCAAGTCCTCTTTACAGTTCTGCCTGGCGAACAGCATCGGTTTACTTTTTTTTTTTGTGTTTTTTTCCCGTTTCAATTAACTCTATATATAGATGATCCTCTCTCATACAAACATATAAATACACCACCGCTGCTCTGCTCCACCACAGGAAGAGGCTCTACCGGCGGGCTGATGTAGTCCTGTCGATGTACACAGTCTCTCAAATAGTAGACAGGGTGGGCAGGCAAGAAAATCTTCAATCTTTCTCTGTAGCATAGATTTGGACTTTTTTTTTGTTGGTGATTTTTTTGATTTAGTTGTTTCCTTTGAATTATTTATTTTTTTACAGGATTTCGTATTTGTCGACGAGAAAGGAGATTTCTGAAGAGAATCGAACGGAGGTGTCACCGTCTACGAGGGTCGCTTTGGTAACCTGGGAGAAAAGGGAAAAAAAAGAGAGGAAGGAAATTAACAACAAACAGGAAGCAACAACAACAGCAACAGGAAGTGGTTTATCGTAAATAACATTCCTGAGCACAGGCAGGAGAGATGAACTGGTTTTGCATAATTTTACATTTCTTTCCTGTAAGTATACCACTTTAATTTCCAATCTTTTATCCATAATACACCGTAATAGTACACATTTATCTGGCCATTAATTAGCCTCCGGCCAATATAAATGTGAGATTCGAAAATCAATCAAAATCATTATAATTTGGTTGATAACTTGTTCTGAAGTAAGATCTAAGAGGCAATGTACTCTGCCTTTCAACACAGTAGAGCTGCAATAAATTATGTTTCTAACATGCAGTTTTGTAGCTTTGACACTAATATTAAACCTTTGTGTCATCTTCCTATCAACTTTGCAATTGTTGTCCTCTCAAATAATATAAATCTTTACCCAAATTAGTTTTACACCTTCTTAGCCAAATTTAATCTGAGTTAGACTATTATTTTTATAACTGTGGTCATAGTTAATGGTTCACCACAAATAAATAGAGAAGCAATTCAAACGCTTCTTCCTATAAACATGAAGGAGGTGGTCAGAATATTAGGAAACCTCCCCAAAGTGATGCAGTCCATTACAACACCACTAACCCTGACCTCAATGTGTTAAACTCTCAGTGGATAGTGTGGGGGAAACTTCTTAAGCAATTGGAAACAGGACTCAGATGCCCCTTTCACACAAACGCGTTTTCAGCTCCGGCTCGGAGCTGGAGCCTGAAAAGCGCCGGTTTTTCCTGTTCACACCGCAGCGGCGCCGCCTCTTAGCTCCGGAATCCGGTTCACTTCCAGCTCCAAAAAATTGTCGGTCGAGAGGCAAGAGCTTCAGAGCTAAGAGGCAGCGTCGCTTACGTCTCTCTTACGTCGAGGCGTGCAGGAAACTAAACCCACCTCCCCTAAACATGGGTCGACTGTCATGCCTGCCTACAAGCAGTAGTGCTTATAAACACACTTTATAAAGTCAGGCAACACTAACCAGGCTTCGTGTGATTCTGTTTATTTGTACCGTTACTTTGACCATCCGTTCACTGTTATTGATCATTGTGGAGAGACGCAGACGTTTTGTATTATAGCAGCTATCGGATGGAATCAATACATGGGCTGCACAGGTTGTCGTGTCCGACTATCACAAGTAGAATCATAATAAAAATAAGCCGGTAAAATGTGCCTGTAGAAAACGGTTATGATAGCAATAGCAAGTAGTCAGTTTAGCTTCGGTTGCTATGCTAACATCACCCATTTTATACCAGAGAAACTTTCATAACAGCGTTGTGATACCAAACCGCGTCAATTCAGACTGACACACATTCACTTAGGCTAAGGGGAACTGGGGATATGTATCAGCTGCTTGTGTGAGTCGGACAGTGAATACTTTAGAGCGGCCGCTGCAGTGTGAGCTAACCGGGAGCTAACAGGAGAATAAACTCCCGTGGAAGAGCAGCCAACACGGCAGCGGTCGGTAAAAGCTGCAGAAACACATTAATAAACAATGAACCACGGCACTCTGGAGCAAAGTATAAGGTTGGAGAAGTCGTTATTTAATTTAATCTGGCTTCGTGTGATTAAAAGCAACACGATCATCGACCCGACGCAGTTGTTGTTGTTGTTTTGAGCACCGTAACGCCGTTGGGGAGCAAATCAGCGATGTAAACGGTGACGTCATGACGCAGCAGCGGCAGCACCAGTCGGGTGCTGGGCGGTGTGAACAGAGCGGGAGCAGAAAAGGGAAACCGGAGCTGAACCAGAAAAGCTCTAGCACGGAGCTAGAAAGGGAAAAGCGCTGGTGTGAAAGCCGCAAGAGAGACACGAAGAGAGCTGGAGCTTTGATGGCAAACACTGACGGTTTATTTGGAGCTTCGGCCGGAGAATTGACAAGACATGTCACGGGCTACGAGTTGACCACACAGTTGAGATACCACATCAATTCTGAAGAACCCTCCTGTAGCTCCAGGTTTTAACTAGTTCAGAGTGTAATAATCAACATTCTTCAATAGATAGACTAAACAGCTGAGGACACTGAATCACAGTTGTTGTCGCGGCTCGGGGTCATCTACACCCCGAGAAGGATGTGTTCCAGGTGTCCCACAACAATAACTATCTCTGACCGAGAGTTGCCCGGTCACAAACTGGTAACAACAACAAAATGCTAGGGCAGCCCTTCCTTATGGGAGATAACGGCTGCCCAAGGCTGGGCATCTGCGTCAGAAGGCGAAGGAGGACATGCAGGGCTAATTATTCCCTGACAGTTAGAAGAAGCTTCCGGTATCTCACCTGGATGTCGCAGTAGTTGCGCTTGGACACGAAGGTCACGGCGATGGGGAAGAAGTCGTTGGGCTGCCCAGCGATGCTGAACTCCATGCTGCCAGTCTTGTTGTTGGCGTCGATGACGGGTAGGCACCACTCTAGAATGTTCCGCCTGCTGTCGTGTTTGTACTCTCCGTCAAGATCCCCGATTAAAGGAGCACCCACTCCAGACCTGCAGGGGGACAGGAGTACACAGAGGGGTCAGTAGAAGAAGAAACAGAGGAACGACGATGTTCTGTTGGCATGCATTCACATTCATAAAACCTTACAGCTCACTTTACAAATGCTCTGATATATTTAAAGAAAATAAAAAGAGGAAATGTTATTATTTATATTTCGTTATTTTTAAGAGTTTCAATTCAAATAATTGTATTCACAATGGTTAAAAAGTTAAGACATAAAGGAGATATGTGAAATGGAACACCCCAATAAGCCTTAGAATAGGGGCCCAGACTCCAAAACAAAAGTATTTAAAATATATATCACACAACACATCTAGAATTGGAGAGAGAGTTCATGTTTAATACAGAAACATTACAAGCTAAAAACATTTAAACTAACCAAATATACTAAAGAATAAGCAAATAATTAAAAAAACTTACTACTCATACTTAATGTACATTTAATGCTACAGGGATACTTTTACAACTGCTGGCAATATGCCATCGCTTAGCAACTTTAACTTTGATGCATTTACATTTTTTGTGTCATGTCAGATTTAACAAAAAAAGAAAAATGACTCCCACCTAATGGAAAATAATACCCCCCCCTAAGTACCAAATACTTATTGATTTTCTCAATTCAACCCATTTAAAGCTATTCTTTGATATAACACATGAGTCTTTTTCTATATGAAATCAGTGGATGTACTTACGGTACAGGGATGCTGATGACCACGTCGTTGAGCTCGAGGCTCTCCTCCTGCAGCTCGTATTCGATGTTCACATCACAGCCAGTGGCGCTCTCTGAAGGCCAGCAGTTTACTGTGGGAGGAACCGGACACTTTTAATATGTCATACGTCACATTAGAGTCTTCATGTACAAACTAGCCTGTCAAAAGGAGACAATGAATAACTGTATGGCTCTACGAGTCCCTCAGGAGAAGCACACTCACTGGTTAGAGGTATGAGGGCCTCGTCTGTGGTCTGCAGTCTCCACTTGAGCACACCGACATCGTTGTTGAGAGGGAAGGACTTCTCCGGGTTCTTCAGGCCGATCACCGAGTCAGTTGTGAACAGCTTCTTGTCCACGTTGGGATGTGTCTGAGGAGGGGAGACCGAGACACAGTTAATACGTTATTCAATGTTGTGAAACTAAGAAAAGTTGTATGTGGATGCATGTACGCATTACGAAAATGAGTTTCGTTACCCATTCCTAAATGAAAGTAGTTTGCCATTTAAAAACTGCAAGACGTTCGTGGTGCTCTTACTCTGAAGGCAAACTCCTAACCCCTTTCATTTTAAATGAATCACTCCCTTTATCTTTTGGAATTAGTTTTTTATTTTATCAAGCTAAAATTGATAACAAAATGGCAATTTTGTTAAATTTTACATGATCCCTTACATATAATATAACCTTCATCTTTACTGTCTGTCACATTATTGTCTCAGAAAATGTTGAGGATCTTTGGTAAACGTACTTGCAGCTGCAGCCCTTTGTTGTCGTTGTTGTTGATGATGAGGCGGATGCGTCCACTCTTCTCGTCTGTGACTCGGAGCGTGACCATGCCCAGTAGCTCCATGTTCTGAAGACCGCCGTCACGGCCGCAGGTCAGCGAGATCTTCTCCTCCACACGCAGATGTACGCTGCAGAGGGAAACAAACCCAAACAGACTTCAAGTCATGGACACACCCCAGAGAACACTCAGGTAACATTTATGAGATGTGCAATAAAGATAATTTCACAATGAAGAGTTTTAAACCAAAACTCCTGCACATGTAACACATGTATTAGAGTGTGGAGTAAACACTTCCTTTAAAAAGAGCAAATGGGCTATTAAAAAACCATCAAAGACTATTCAAGGCAAGTACATTATTATTACAGGAGGACATGAGAGGATTCGCTTATTGGTTCTTAAGAAAAACCTCCCAAATATTGTAGATGGACAACCCTGCATGCATTTAATGTCAATATATTGAATTCCATGTTCAGTTAAAACAATATAATAATTGTAATAGTACATGAAACATAACACTTAATTATTTGAATTGAAAACTGCTTAACGAAAAGATTGGTGTCAGTATGACAAAAAGCAGCTCTTGTTGCATTCAAGTCCATATCATTAATCACTTTCGATAGTCAATATATGAACTTTTCGACTCTTGGTTTGCTATAACTTATACAGATTCTATGTAAAAGACATTTGACGTTCATGCTATCCCTCTTTTCAGCCCCCATGCAGCTCCTACAGTGTGCAGCTAAAGCAGCTAAAAAGGCGATTACTTCAGGTAATTCATCCAGATCCCGAGGCTGATCTGGCTCTTAAATTGTCTAGCTTCCAAACGTATTATCAGTTAACTTACTAAGCAACCAATCCATGTAGCTTAAGGCGAGACACGGCAGGCAAAAACATCGTTTTTCAAGTACTGGTCAATTTTGAGATTTTGTGCTATTTTGATTCCATAACATGTTTTCTTTCAGGCTTTTGGAAGGAAAACGTACAAAATACACATTTAAGTGTTTATTTTACTATAGTTTGTCTATTTACGTCTGTAGATTTCTCCTAAATTCACCAAAAGTTAGCATTCTAACGTAACATAAAGTACCGCGACCGCTGTGTGCACCATGTCAACAGAGATATCGTTGGAAAGTTGTGTCTCTCCTGCACAATCTCATCGGATCCAAATATGGTCATTTCCTTTGTATCAGCAACCAATCGTGAAAGCACAAAGGGGTCTTAAACCAAGAAACGAAATCTCATTGGCTGGTGTCAATTTCTGACAACGTGATTCGTTCAGATGCGTCACGTGGTGTGCTAAAACACTTCCTGGTTAGCTTTCCGCTAGAAATTGAAATCTCAAAATGCCAAAAGAACGGCGAAAAAAACGTTCACAGAGAAGACGACAACAATTGTCACTTGCACGAAGCAAGGTTATAAATAAAAAAATGACCCCGAACATGAAATACCTTCACGGAGTGCGTCGATGCGCAAGCTGTCATCCAAAGAACAGGAGGGTTTAGCTAGCGCCTCACTGCAATCTTTAAAGGTCGTTTTCTCAAAATGAGTTTTTTCTCCTACTCTGAGTTCGAAATTTCAACTTCAGTAGTACGTAGAGACACCAAACCTTCCAGTTATATTCCTATCAATATTATGAAGGCTTTTACAGAAGGGTTTGTTCATATATCATTCATAGCCTGAATTATACAACATTGTATACCTAAAAACATGGCGAAAATGGATATTTTAGGGCTGTTGACAGTATTTTCTGATTTATGGAGTGATAAAAAGAGATATCCAATATCCCTTCTGTAAAAGCCTTAGATACTAATATGACTACAAAATGAAACAAGAATTTTTAATCTGGCTATATCCAAAATTCAGATTTCGATTCCTGAAATGTGTTAAATGTGTAAACCGACAAGCTTGTTTGTATTCTGGAGCCGATAATCCCCATAAAATATAATAGACATTCTAAATATGTGATATATGATTTCAAAGTCAAGTCAATGTTTTGGCTGAAGCACAGCGACTACCGAGTGTGAAAACAGGATGCTGACTGCAGTTCCCTAAACATCCACCAGTGTCCACAGGGGTTATTTGAAGGTTCCACATAGCACCATGAAATACCTTATGGCGCATTTCCACTGCAGCGCGTAGCACGCTTTAAGCGTGCCGTGCCAAACCCGTTCCCGTTTTTTGTTGCGTTTCCACTAGGGCTAATTCCGGCTAGCGGGTACTGTTTCACAGTTTTTCTGGCCCTCCAAAATCGTGGTTCTTTCCTGGCCAACAACCGGGCTGAATATGCTAAACTACAGAGAGAATCGCTGGCAAAGGGGCTACAACTACAACAAAATGAACATATTTGACCGTGATTTAATTAGTTTCAAAATGATGCCGAAGTAACAACATACTGATACCGGTTAGTAAAAACCATGAATTAATGCTTTGACAAGTCTGCAGACAGACGGCAGGCGAAAAACCCTTTTAAAATGCGTGTTTTCTGAATGAAGGTCGGCTAAGCTAACGCTGTATCAGGGCTCGAGCTTAAGGACGTCCCGTCGTCGAAAAAAATAGTGTCGGGGAGGATAAAAAATAATTTTGGGACGAATTTGGGACGAGAGTTAAAATAAAAATACCCTGCTAACTCTACTACAAACGGCGATGAAAATGAAACCGACTGCACGTTTTGTGTAGCACACAGTTATTAAACCTCCTTGTCAACATAAACACACACAAAACATTTAGAAACCCGCGAAATACACACACATGTAGCTACAGCTGTGCCCGCGAATTCCTGGCCTGCAAATTCGCAGGTCTAGCTATGTACTGGGTGTGTGTATTTCGCGGGTTGAGTGATGTACAATGGCATCCCGTGGAGGAATTCTGAAATGTTTTACCGTTACATCACAAAAACGCACGGCAGAACCAGACCCTGGAGCACCGGCCTCTTTATTTACTTACTCCTCTTCATCCCCTATGGGTAATAAGGCTGAGAAGAGAACCCTCCATCGTATTTAGTCCTTAGCAATATGCTGCGCCTCTCCCCATGTAGGGATGGGTACCGAGCAGTCTATGGTACCGAGCCCCGGTATTAAACGGGCCCCGGGCCGGAATTATTAAAGACAGTGGTAACGTTAAGCTCCGACGTTATCGGACTTTTTATCGGTACTGGAGACATTTAAAAAATATATGTCATATGTATTATTGCTACATACACATTATATCGCAGTTTTAGTTTCGCCAACTCCGTTTCTAATATGCAATAAGACTACAACATGCGTCTATGATGTATTTTCGAGCTTTCCAATCCAGACGAGATCTATCTTTCTGTCTGTGTGCGAGGGGGCGGGGCCGTTTGTAAAGGTCTCCTGACTGTTACAGACTGTCATCCTGGTTAGTGGTTACTCTGGGTTCTGTCTTCAGGACAGTGTTGGATTTTTTGGTTAATTGGATGGGACTTGATTGGATTCAATATTAGAGTAATTTTCTCGTTTGTGTGTTTGTTTAAATATATTTGGCCTTTGTTTATGTGATTGAATGATTTACTCAAATAAAAAGGTTGATGAATTATCATCTAATGATTTTAACTAATGATAATGTAGAAAAACTAACATTTTAAATTCGGGATGGTCCACATTAATTTCGGGACGGCTTAGATTGTATTTCGGGACAGTTCCGGGAGGATGGGGAAAAAAGTTAGTCGAGAGCCCTGCGCTGTATGTGCTCCGACCGTAGTAACTATACCGTACTAAGCCATGCGAGGCCCTGCAGTTGAAATGCGCCATAATGGCGCATTTCAGAGCTGAAGCCACTTCTATGTCTATGACAAAGTATTGACTATTTTATCTGTTTTTCGAATAAAGCTTTGAGGCACTTGCAAAAACGAACAATTGCAGAGTAATAACCAATATATATATATAATTAGTCATAAAGGTTGCGGTGAGTCTTTACCCCTCCACATTGACTGGTGGCGGCAGAGCTTTAGATACATCGGAGCCTCTCTTCCCTGAGGTTGGCATGATGGTTTCACCCTCGGACTTGAGCTTGTCAACAAAGTTGTCCACCTCCTTCCCTTTAGCGCCCAGTTTCAGAGCCTTGCTGGGTCCACTTTGTCTGGAAAAAGAAAAACATCACAACAGGGTTTTTAACAACTAAAAACAGGCTCAACCATTGAACATTCAAAAGCCTGTAAACAACAATGAAACCCAATACTAGTTACCTTATGCTTCAACAGCTACAGGGCATTTCCACATTGCTTTATTATGTGTTGGTACTTCCGGTTAAAGCGTAATTACTATTACTTCGTATAGCGTTGCCACTTTTTTTTTGTTATTAAGCTTTTGAATGTGTGTCTGAGTTTATCCAAATAAAGCATTCTTGAGAATATATTTATTAGCAATGTTTGGAGCTGTAACAAGAGGTGATCAGCTTAAAGAAAGCACTTTTCAACACAATGTTTGAATGTTTTAGATGGGTAGCTAATGTGAACTAGATGAGGTTGATAGATCACGATGGTTTGTAGCTTGTAAAGAAGATGGCTAACGTTTGCTAGCTTGTTAGATAGATATATGGCTAGAAAGCTAATGTTTGCTATCTTAATAGCTCACTGACAGGTTAATTTAATCTCAATGTTAACATGTGTCCAAAAAATTTCAACACTGTGGACCTTTGTCTGTGAGAGTTTATTATCTGTCGACGTGAGCGTTAGTTAACATTCTGAGCGGCTGATATGCTTTGTTACTTTTTGTAGCTCCTCATAGCGGAGCCATCAACACCAAAAGACACTACAGAGTCATTTAAAAGTGTCCTCATATAGCTTTTGGGCAATTTTACAGCCGACGGATGTGGTAATGTAGACCATTCCATCACTGCATTGTAACTGTAAATGATCCAAATAAATGTTTTATTGTTAACAATCCTGCAAGTGCTAAATCGAAAGAACTTACACATATGCGTTTGAACACGAAGTGGGGAAAGGGGCGGGGCTTCATAAAGTGAATAGCAAAACCAGACTTATTTCTTGGAGTGGTACCTGGCGGCGGCTGGTGTGATCTTGGGCTTCTCAGGCTCCACGATGGTGTCTGTGATGATGGACCCTGAGGACATGCTGGTCATGCCGGGGGCGCTGCCGAAGCCTCCGTAGGTCGACACCTTCTTTCCAGAGCGCTCAGCGTCCCTTCTGGCCTGCTGCAGCTCCTTGGCCTTTCTCCTCATCTCTGCCTTAGCCTCTCTTTCCTGGGTCTGTGGATAAAAAACAAAAATATGTTCTGTTTTTAGAAACAATATAACAGTTATACACAGAAAGAAACACATGGTTTTCACTTGTGTTTTGATTGCTGAAAACCTGTGCCGTGTTGTGAATACATTTTCAACTAATGGATAGAAACGGTAACCTCATCTACCATGTGATACAATGCACACTTTGTATAAGGTGTAAAAGCACATTGCTGACAAGACAGCCCCATGGAGATGATTAAAATGTGTCTTGTCTAATAAACCAGATGGATGCAACAGTGTGATCTCACCTCTCTGACAGCCCGGAAAACCTTCTCCTCGTGGGAATCCATCTCTGTGAAGGTGCGGATCTGAGCCAGGTTGACGTTCTCTCTGTAGCCTAGTGCAACGATCTCATCGAAGGCAAAGATCAGGTCGAAACAGTGATCTGATATTTCGCTCTCCTCTAGCACACGACAGTATTCTGGGATCTGGAAGGGGAAGGAGGAACAAGTTAAATCAGACAATTAAAGAAAAGTAAGCATTTTGAGATAAAGTGAAAGCACAAGTGGCACGGGTCAGTAATCATTTCTACATGAGTCTTGGCTAAAAGCATGACTGCTGACAAATCCACTGAACACTAGTTGCTGTACAGTATTAAAGGCAGTGCTGGATGTTCAAAACTCTGTGTATTATTACAGAGGTCAGGCTCCGAGTATAATTGTGGTATTGATTTATGGTGGAGTTTTTGGTAATGGCAGGGGTAGACATTAAGGGTAAAATGCCACTGGCCCTCAAAAATCTACTAATAATGAAGAAAATAGTAATTTATGCACTAACTACATTACAACTTTTACTACAACATTTGAATCATCAGTTCTTCCTTATTTTCGTCAATTGTTCATATTTGGTTTATTAAAATAATGATATTGTGGTCATTGTTAAAAAATGTCTGCTATTATTATGAGTATTATTATTTGTATAATACGCTTTCTGCCTTCCTGTCATTAGGAGTTAGACATGTAATGGCTATGTAATAGATTAGATTAGAACCTAATTATCATTATCCTAAACTGCTGGGACATTTCCCTATAGCCAATACCTTTATATTTTCTACTCTTCACTTACTTGTCAGCATAGGTCGGCATTGATGTACAGAGCCGACAGAAGACCTTATTTATATTGGCATCATATTGAGAGGTGCAGCCAGTGACGCATCCTAAGACCAGGAAGTAAGCTGCTGGTTCCCTCGACAAAAAGCAATGGGATTTCTCCACATGGTTTGGGAAAATAGCTGGAAATAAGGTCTGTGGAAAACAAACCTGTTTGATAAATGCACGTTTTGTTCAGCCGGATAATCTCCACATGTCTACCCTACTTTTATTATTTTCTAATCATAAATCTAATCGATAGATTATAAAAGGGTTTTAGGATGCGTCACTGCACCACTAGAAGCCAACTCCATCGACCATCGATCCATCGTTTCGTGGCTGAAACTTTCTCTCCCTCTTCACTCTCCTTTAACTCCTCCGGTGACTTTCTTTTATTTGAATATTGTCTTTTGCCCGGCACTTGGCCGGTTACCGCTGGTATTAAAAACATTTTGGCGAATGGTTAGGTGGCGCGATAGTCTGTAGTGAAGGAGCGCGCTCCCGCTCACGGGAGCCTGCTCGCGCTGCGCTCCGCAGCAAACAGCTGTTTGCTTTTCACCCAACAACGACAACCGACTCACGGAACGCTATGGTGTAGCGTTAATAAACAAAATAATTTAACAAAATTGCTAGTCAAAATACAAATACCACAGGACCTTTTTTTTTTTTTTTAAACCAATATTTTTAGTGGCTCGAGCGGGCAAGTGGAAAGTACGTTATGCTGGCCCGGGGTGTCTAAATAGTGCTTCCGGGCCAGCGGGCCATTTATAATGATCGAGCCCTGAATGGCCTCGATCATTTGAACATTATAGACTTATCTCACTAGATATGGATATGACCTAGATCATTCTTGTTTAACTTCATTGCGTTTACATCTGTGTTTGTTTATATAACAGTTTAATTAACAACTTAGCCATCAGGATACCAGAATATTCCACAGGGTTTTTCTTATTAAATAATATTGAGCATTACACAGACATTGCACAGTTTTGTTAAAATAGCCTGAGGGTTCATTTTACTTTATAATTGTAATAGTGTGGTTTTTACTATTTGCTGTTTTCCTTAAAGGTGGGGTAGGTAAGTTTGAGAAACCGGCTCGAGATACACTTTTTGTTATATTCCATGGAATGCCGGCGTTCCTGTGTGTTGGAGGAGGGGCTCTGTAAGGAAGTGGCAGATTTTTTCCGGCTGTGTATTTTCAAATTCTAGAGCACGCGAGCTGGTTTCTCCAAAACTACATATCCCACCTTTAAATAAGGAAATTGTAGTATTTTCTCAATTCCCAATTAAAATGTATGTAATACGAACATAAATCCCGGAAATCAACCCACAATGGGTTTTAGTACTAACAAAATATATATATTCAATTTCCTGCTTGCTTTTATCCAAAACATAAAAGGGCAATAACATAAATTAAATAGTTAAAATAAACCAGCGGTGTGATATTTCTTGAAAATCAATAACATTTACTATAAAACACAGGAACAAAAGCAGTGCAACATTATTGTGATAAATACTACATTTTGGTTTTTAAACAAATTAACTTATTAGCTTGAAATTAATAGCTTTTAAGTAAGCTAAATACTATCGCTTTATGAGTTGTGGTCATACTGTTTTCTCTGATGATACTTATTAATATAACAACTACTTATTTTCCATATAATATTCTCCTAATTCAACACTTTTTGTTATGAGATATGATATAAAAGACCCAGTGTTGAACATGACTGGCTAAAATGTGAACATCATTTTCTGGTCTTTAGTTTATTTTGTCTGAGTTTGACATGAGTATTATATTTCAGTTAAAATTTAAATTAAGACAAAATTAAATGGTTCATAAATGGTTGTACTTAGGAATGTATAATGGAGTATTAAAGAAGAAAACAGTAATCCATTATGTTGTTTTTAAGCTTCATATGTACATAGTGTTGGATTTCCAAATGCATACTCCTACATATAAAGCCATGAATGCACACTGGGATGCTGAGGATTGCTATAGTACATGCTAAAATAACTCAAAGGAGAAAAACAAGAACCTGGCTGACAGCTTTCAGTAATTTGATGTGTGATACAGAAAGGGATCATTAAAGCAATTGCCATGCTCCACACTGCAATGTGTCATGTTAACTGTATATCCTCTTATAATGAACATCATTCCTAGGCATAGGCAGAAACAGCTGCATGTTTCCTTACCACGCGGGAGAAGAGTCTGAGGGTCTCCAGGTCCTCCAGGATGTTGCTGTTCTTGGTGGTGATGAGGACCATGTAGAGTTTTTCCAAGGGCTGGTACACATAGCGAACACTGTCTGTTTCCACAAAGGTGTGCTGCTTGCCAGTGTTCATCAGTTTAGGGAATGCAGCCAGGAGTCCCTCAATGCGTGTCCGGGTCATTTCCACAAACTGCCGCGATACGATGGCCTTGCCGGCCTTGGTGCACACCGCCGCTGCCAACAGCACCTGGAGGTGGAGAAAAAACGGACTGTTGTAGTACCTGCAGTGCTTCAGTTTTATTATTAATAAAAACACATTGTACATGCATACTTTATTTGAGCATGGAACTGTTCGCTCAAGGCAAAGGTAAGTCATGGGGATACATTAACTGTACTGAGCAAATAATACAGTTCCTCTTTCCTTTAACCCAAATTCCAATAATGTAAGCCTTTGTCTAGGGAGAGCACATCTTACCAAGTCGAACATCATTAAATGAAATGTTTTCTTAAGACACATTTGTGTTTAAAATGTAGCCAATCCACCCTCTCACCAGAGGTCCTACTTTATTATTTGTTTGCACTGCTTGAGGCAACCTACTGTGTTAGGTTTTTCGTGGAAGAAGACTGTAGTTGCTGCATGGCAACTAGCCATACAACATGGCATTTTATTAAAACAATTGCTACAACATGTCCCAAATTTGACATTGTTTATAATGAATTCAGAAAAGATAAGGTTGTGTTAACAATGTTTGTATGTCTGACAAGAAAACAACAATTCTAAAGGGGTCTGGTGAGGCGTTCTCAACACACTAGACTAGGACCACAGCAGTGTTGACCGGTAGCATGTGTTTCCAGTCAATTAACCAGTGGTGTAAAGACACTAAGTAGATTACTCAATTACTGTACTCAATTACAATTTTGAGGATTTTGTACTTGACTTAAGTATTTCAATTGTGTGCTACTTTGTACTTCTAACCCACTTCATTTGAGAGGTAAATCGTGTACATTTATTTAATACCTTTAGCTACTTTGCAGAAGTAGGAATAATGATGTGAAATATAATCAACCCTTAAATAAGACTTAAGTTACACATGGAGTAAATTCACAAGCTACCCTGCAGTATACAAAGTCATTCAAACAAGCTGCCCCTTTACCAGCTGTGACAAACACTTAAATGCGTAAATGATATATAGTTTTGTTCCTTTACTTGAGTTACATTTTGAATGCAGGACTTTATGCAGGATTGTGACATTCAGTGTATTTCTACATTTACTGAAGTACAAGATCGGAGTACTTCTACCACCCGAAAATAACTTACATAAAACTGTAAGTGAAGGTTCATTAAATTAAGCGTAATATGAGTACACTGTAAATTTCACTTAGGGAAATGAGGGAAGGAACTGTATGTATTCCACGTTGACAAGGGCTGAAGTTAGAAATGAAAGATACCGACTGCAACGGATCTGAACTTGATGCAGACAACCAACAACTGAGGTTAAAGTTGACAGCCCTTTATACATGATGTAACAACATATTAGTAAACATGATAATGTATATATAGATTAAGATAACTCAATGACATTATACCGTGTTGCCTGGCTTTAGACATAATGACAGCAGGTAATGTTAGCTCGGGATAGGCTAGTGACAGGAGCTAACACTAGCGCTAGCTTGTCAGGCTAGTTAACGTCAGCAATGTCTGCACACTCTGAATCAACTACTAACCTAAAATATGACTCTGTATAATGAAACGACGATTCATTTAGTTAATTTAAAGACATTCATATGAAGTTAGTATTGTCAGAGCAGTGGAAACCAACGTGTGGTTTTCCTGTTATTTCGCTCTTGGACAGGCTAGCTAACTGATACCCAGGTTTAGCTAGTTGCAGGTTAGCCAGTGTTATGATCATTGCTAGGCCCGATGAAAGCCAGGGAAATACCCGGATATTAGACTGTCACTCACCATTTTGGTCTCTCTCTATGGAACGACGATCTTCCGTCTTTCGTGTTTCTTGATTTGGTGATTTCTAGTCAGTCTGGAATAGAAAGGTGCGAATGTACAGCTGACTTCAAGTTGTGTGATTGTTAGCTAGCTAGCGTCAATACGGCAGCAGGACAGAGCCACGTCTCCACCGGAAGAGCAGCGATAGAACTGCCCACCGTGGAAACCAGTGACGTGTTCCCCAAAATGTTGGCCGTGTTGCATAAATAAGTTACTCGTTCTACTTCCACACACAGACGCTCCTTCCTCTTTTCCTCTTTTTCTCTTATTGAGACTCTCAATAAGAGAAAAAGAGGAAGGAGCGCACTATCTATTACTCTCAATTTGAGAGTAATAGATAGATAGATCCATATAAATAGATAGATCCAGCTACCGATGTCTACCTTTCATCCATATTCCGTATTAACAAACCATGGTTGTAAGCATTTTCATTTCATTTTGAGTTCATACTGTATAGTCTACTGTATTTTATATATGTATATAAAAAGCACATAGGCTACTTGCAAAAAACAACCTTACAAATGAAATACATTGAACAGAACTTCTATATTATTAAACATGTATTTATTGTACATTTATAAAGTGTATCAAATGCATTTAAACATTTCAACCAACCCTTTGACCTTCATGTAGCAGAACTAAACTGGCGATAACTGGTTTGTGTTCAATTAAATACATGGGTTGGAAATATGCACCGGTAAAGCACAATATCAACTGACTTTATTAGACATAAGAGGCTTTTCTACCTGATCTTAAGATATGTGTGCTTATTTGTTGCAGATTCCGGAAACATGTGTTAAAATTATGCAAACATATGTAAGAAAGCGAACAAAAATATCATCTTATTTAAACCTTGAGGATTATGTTTTAATTTGACAGCATGACATGTTCCATTTAGATTATTATTCTCCACCACGATTATACAGAATTCATCTGTTGCAGTACTTTTATTTGGTCACCAGATGACACTGTTAGGGTTAGGTGCATAAAGGATTTAGAATCTATGTATTCAATAGGAACAGAAGCACAACACATTTTCATCCTCCTTTTCCTGATATTCCCTAAGAAAAACGTAGTTTTGTTAAGTAGGTTAGAAAGCTATGATAACACATGCTTCCACTCACTCCCCAAAGAAGGTCTGAACCTTCTCTTATAGCAATATGTTTATATACATATAACAAAGTTCTCCATAAATAAACAATAAAATACAACATTTATTTTTTGTTTTTACAAATAACCCAATAATAAAATGAACTGTAGGCCTATTAGTTCCCAGTAATACTTATTATAATGTTGAACATCCACTTAAAATAATCATACAGCAATAAAACAAACTCCATTTAATGCAACGTCTGGATGCCAACCGCCTTTAAAAACACACATATGTAGAAGAAGCCAAACGTCAGATTGCAGAGGTGGGAGAAGTACTCAGATCTTGTACTTAATTAAAGCAGTGGTTCAGATCATTTTTCTGCCAAAAAAAAGTTGGGCCCCCCCCAACACAAATAGTCACGTAATGGGCCAAGTTAACATTTATTAAAATACATCAATATGAACTAGAGAAAAACAGTGCTATTTGTATAGGTGGTGTGTGGACCTAACATCCTAGGGGGGTCCGGGGGCATGCTCCCCCGGGAAGATTTGTTTTTAAATATTGAAGTTAAAAGCATCAATCTGGTGCACTTTGAGAGCAAAATGAAGAGATATATGGATACAGTGTAACGAATGTAACGATCACAAAGGGAGTCGGAAACAGGCTGCTAGTTATTAGGCTTTAATAACTATTCTTCTTTACAGATGATCACAGGTTCAGGAACAGCTTGTGGGTTCAACCTCACACTAACACTAACTCCTACACATACCCATATATATAACTAAACACCAAACAGAAACAGAAACAGAACTGTAAACAGATTTTCTTTTTCTTTATGGATATTTTACTAATCACTCCCCTTTTAAACTTTATTCTTGTTTTACTGTCATACAGTATTTCATACCTGTTTTTCATTTATTCTCTTTTTTGTTATACCCATAATGATCATATAAACGTGTGCCTCGGAAATAATTGTTTACATTAATCGTGACCAAACCGTTTGAGACCCACTGAGATAACTTTGACTAAAGTTAACTATCTAAACACTCAGAGTCCTTTAGCTCACCTGAGCCTCTCAGTCTGACAGGAGAGGACTCTCTTCCACCTTGTTGTTGAAAAAGCACCTCCGTTAGAGTAGCTCGCTAGCACCAGAAGCTACCAACAATGATTTCCGGTATGGTGCGCTCTCGCTCGCTCGCGCACGCACACAAAATGGCTCGTTCCACACAGAGCCGAGTTTGAATGAAACACAGAGACCCAGTTTATTATACATACTTAGGCTACATAGCTTACTTACATACCAACCCAGTCTCACGGAATTTCGTGTTCACCAACACGATTTTTAATCTATTGATTCGTGTTCAGCAACACGATTTGCCCCTTTTTTTCGTGTTGCACAGCACGATTTTAAAAGCAATGTATTTCTACTGCCTGCAGCACGTCTTTTTCTCCGGTCGGGTCGTGGGAGACCGGAAGCTGTGTGGTTCATAAAAACATGTTCTTACTCAATATCAAGCCACAGTTATTGCTTTTATTTTAAATCGTATAATTTCGGACTTTTGTTGCCGTCTGTGAGGAAAATAAATGGGGCTCAGAGCCTCAGAATACGGAAATCTGTATTTTTAAATATTTTTTCCCTTCTAATTCGTTATTCTTTTCAAAATAACACACTGTTATTTACTCACCAATAACACACAATTATCCTTGCTTTTATTTATTGGTTTAATTCCATAATCTCTGGCTTTTTTGGCGTCCGTCAGGAACTGAATTTCAAAATAAAAATAACCTCAAACAGACGTAGGCCTATAAGGGACATTTCGAGCATCATTGCGATTGTCAACATTTCTGAGTTTAGGATGGCCGAAGACACTACACTACCCATAATCCCTAGCTATCGTTTAGGACTACAGTCCCGTAAGGTTACGCAGAGCGTCAAACAGCTGTGTGAAATGTAACGAAACCACGCCAGACTATCCAAAACTGGAATCGAACGCCCCCCCAGAACTACACATGCTGGCTATTGTGTTTCGCAAAATGTTCTATGGGACGTCTCTACTGAACGTTTTCGTTTTTCCCACAATTAGAAGTTGTCAGTATTAAACACATTGGTGTTATCAAATGTAAAACATATAATTAATAAATGGGTGAAAATCGCTTGTGTCCATAATGCGCAGCATTAATACCCACATGACAGCTCATTGTTACTTTGTAATTATACTCCACTACAATTCAGAGGTTAACCTGGTATTTTTACTCCACTGCATTTATTTGAGTTACTTTGCAGATTCTGATTAATTATGTGAAATATAAAAAAACCTTAAATCAGACTTTAGTTACACCTGAGTAAAATTCAGGTAGGTGATTGTCAAGTGCCAACTATCAGGAGAGATATTTGATAGTTGGTGCTTGAGAAGACTAAACATGTATCTGCAATTGACATGAATGGAAACGAGTAATAAAGTATATTCATTACTCGTTATTCTCTACTAATAGTTAATTAAAGACTGTATATTATGGCTATTTTGCACATCCCTTTAAATATTTTCAAAGGTTTATTGACATATCATATACACAACTACGGTGTAGTTATGCAATGAATGAAACACTTGGGTCACAGGTTCCTCAACAAGACATCTATCAATATGTGTGTACCTCCACCATCAAACTGTCATATTCTGCAAATTTCTTATTCTATCTACATACATAACAGTATAATTCATATGTATAATATCAGTTAAAAATAAGTGCTTCAACATAGTTAGCATTGCAGGAAAGCAATATATTAGATGTTAAGTACTTTGTCAGGCTTAATATTTATCTGTAGATAGATACCCCCAAAGTGTTTTTCTTATTTAAAAGAAGACCTTAATCTGTTATTTAATGTTTAAATAAAGGTTAATTCGTTGTTCTGTTTTGCACCTCCTCCTATTAATATCTTTGTACATTCTGCACTAAACTGTTTTATTGTAGAGATCACTTGGTGTATCTTCTTGATTTTTTACTTTCTATATTTATACTTTCCCCCTATGAAAGTATGTACTCTTAATATTTTTTTAATCAAATATAACAATAATTCAATAACGTGCTTTAACCACTAGGAGGTGCACACAAGGTACACACAGCCATAATAACTTTGTATTATAAATGTAGGACACTTATGTTTTCGTACATCTGAAGATGTGTAGTTTTATGCATGCTTTCACATAATTTTACAGCATATTGCTATACTATTTCAGACTCAGTATTTAGATTCTTACATTCAAAGAAAATCAGTAATATCTTTAAAAACTACAGTCCTTTTATATCAGCTGTGCACCGTTATGGTTTAAATATAACCTATCTGTGAATTAGATCAAATCTAAAAGTCAGCCGAATTAGTGTTGATACTGCAAGGAGACGTATTGTGTGAAGATACATTGAAGATGTTGTTTAATTGTTGAATATATTTATGATCCACGTCAAGTATTCAGTTTCGGCTGCATTTTCTCAGTTTTTCCAAAGGTCTTCTCATCAGGGCTTTATAAATAAAGAACTACGGCAGATCTGTAATATACAATGCAGCCGAACCGTGTATTACAATGCCGTTATGTGATGACTTTCAAAGAGAAAAGCAAGACCGCTCGGAATTAAGTATTATTTTATTCTTTTAAAATGTTTTCCGGATTTCATATCATATAAACACCAAATCCCAGCATGCATTGCGGCTAAAACATCCAATAAGCGAGATTAAAACCATAGCTGAGGATCTTGGGTAATCGCTCGAAATGCCTACGTATGTTTCCGGTTATTTTTATTTTGAAATTCAGTTCCTGACTGACGCCAAAAAAGCCCGAGATTATGGAATTAAACCAATAAATAAAAGCAAGGATAATTGTGTGTTATTGGTGAGTAAATAACAGTGTGTTATTTTGAAAAGAATAACAAATTAGAAGGAAAAAAAGATTTTAAAAATACAGATTTCAGTATCCTGAGGCTCTGAGCCCCATTTATTTTCCTCACAGACGGCAACAAAAGTACGAAATTATACGATTTAAAATAAAAGCAATAACTGTGGCTTGATATTGAGTAAGAACATGTTTTTATGAACCACACAGCTTCCGGTCTC